GAAGAAGTAGTGGCCACGAGAGAAGAAAAAAAGGATTTACAAGTAATTAAACACCATTAGAAGGACTAAGGGACTATACCCGACTATCATTCACAAATTCATCAAAGTCTAAGTTATCCAAAATATTTAACAGGCAGGATACTGAAGACATCTTAGACTCTCTAAGGTTCCTCACTAGCCTTAAGATCCAGTTCAACCCAGGGGAAGCTCCCCAACCCAACATCTTCCTAATATCTAATTTTATTACTAGAAGTCAAATCATACCTGACATGCTCAAGAAATTAGGGAGAATACCATGCACTTCTTTCCACATTGCAATTAGATTAGCTCTGCACAAAATAATAGCATCACATCCATTCCTTGAAAGGCCATGAATACTTGAAATCACTTAATTTTTTTTTTTTTTGATTAATGAAAAGATCAAGAGGTTAAATCATTACAGGCTACCCATGGAGAGGCATGAGCTGTTACCTCTCCTAACCAATCTGCTAAGGTATTTACTGTTCTGCCAACCCAATGTGAGGTAATATTCATGTTCCTTGAAAACCAATTAACTTTCCTCAAAAGGTCCCTGTAGCACTATATAACTGAGCCTGGATTTGTCAACCATCCCACAACAACTCTGGAGTCTCCTTCAATTACCATATTCTGAGCTCCTAGTTGGTCTGCAATCTGAATACCTTGTACAGCGCTAATAACTCAGCTCTGTTAGAGTCTTCTATTCCCACAGGGCCTGAGGACAAAGAAAAAATGTTGTTGTCCTTATCTCTTAGCACCCCTCCTATCCCCGAAGGACCTGGATTGCCTTGGTTACTACCGTCAAAATTCAGTTTTACCCAACCTTTTCAGGAGGCACCCATACTGCCGGTATCCTGTCCTTCCTGGTATGACTGTTAGCCAAACTATCCAGTTCCTTCAAATATCATCAAAAGAAAAGGTGTGAAAGGAGTCCAGAGTTCTCAACCAATGGATTGCCCTATTCAAAATGCATTCCTTTACAGCCTAAATGACCTAGGATACTTGAAATCACTTAATGCCACAACCACTTACCTAAGAAAGCCAAGTTTTTCAAGTTGACGTTTCTCAAACCCAACCTACCCTTCTCCTTCCTTTTGACCATTGTTTCTCTCACCTTGCTAAATGATCCTTTTTCTTATCTCCCAGTTCCCAAAGGAAATCCCTCATCAAGTTCTCCACTCTTCTTGCAACTGCTTGAGGCATCCTGAAGACAAACATGAAATAAATAGGGAGGTTAGCCAATGTGGATTTTATCAAAGTGATTCTCCCACCCAAAGAGATAGAGTTCCTTTTCCACCCAACCAATCTTTTCTCTATTCTTGCACCACCAGGCTCCACAAACTAGTAGATCTCGGGTTACCACCTAGAGGTAACCCTAAATATTTTGAGGGCCATTCCCCTCTCTCATGCCTCAAACTCTCAATCATAGAGCTTAATTTTGCTACTTCAACGTTTATATTAACTACCACACTCTTGCTCCACAATTAACTTTTAGATTAGACATTCTTTTGAAGAGACTCACCACCAATTCCAAATTTCAAATCCATCTCTATTCTCTCCATCACAAAAAATCAATGTCATCCACAAATTGAAGATGGGCGACCATCACTATATCCCTCCCCACCATCCATCCTTTATATAATTGCAAGTAACTAGCCCTGGATATCAAACTGCTCAGAACTTCTACCACTTAAGTGAAGAGGAAAGGGGAAAGGGGGTCACCTTGTCTAAGACTTCTAATGACTTCAGAGAAATCTATCACCATCTCATTTACAACCATTGAAAAATGGCTAATTTGTAAGCAACCCTTGATCCATTTAGACCACAATTCTCCCAAACCACAATTTCTCATAATGTTAATTAATAATTTCCAATCCACAAGATCATAAGTTTTCTCCAAGTCCAACTTAATTGCCACTCCCATTTTCCTAGATCTCTTTTGAGCCTCTATATATTCATTCACGATAAGAATTTGATCCACAATTTGCCTGTCTTGAATAAAAGCCCCTTGGTATTGAGATATAATTGAAGGAAGTACTTTCTTTATCCTTAGAGACAACACTTAAACAATTATTTTATAAATGCTAGTAACCAAGCTAATGGGTTTGAAATCCTTTGGATGGCTAACATTAGACTTTTTTGGTACCAAGGTAATAAAAGTGGAATTCATTCCAGAATTAATTATTCCCCTGATATAAAACTTTCTAAGCACTTTGATCAAGTCCACCTTGATGATAGAAACTGAACATTATGCCTGTTTACCATTGGGTTAAGGTGATTGGTTAGGTTGGTGGTGGTGGTGGTGGTATGGAGAAGCATGCAAACCATTTGGTATCGAGAGACAAGAGGCTCCTTGTTGGTTGCCCATTCCTCAATAGGGACCCCAGTGTCCTAAGGCAATTTGTAGTTAGGTTGGACTCAGTTCTCTCTGCTAGCATTGTCTAGTAGTAGCAGGAGGAGCTAGCCATGTCCCTCAGGTTTTGTAGAGGCCTTGGGGCTTCTACAACTTCACTCATCAAAGGTCTGGCTTTTGGGTCCCGGCTAAGACAATGATGGGCCAGC